GCATATAAAAAAGTGTACTATTAGCAGCTACTATCTGCTAGTTATTAACAGCTATAAAAACTATAACTTACATTATTTTTAGTAATACTATAAAAATAATAAAATTATTACTATTTACATGCCTTTTTACTTATTACACCTTTTATAGCTACTTAATATAGGTTATTTTACTTCTTTAAAAAAAGCGTATAAGCGCTAAGCTAAAAACCTTATATATAACTAAATTACTTATATTATAAAAATAAAGTTCTTACTATGCTTTAAAGTAGCTTATAATGCTATAATTACTTTTAGTAATATCTAAAAAAAGTTTTAAGGCGCTAGATTAGTTCCTTTTAACTTATAATAAGTTATAATAGGCCTTAATATAAAGTTGCGCACTTTATTACTACTACTACTTATATATAATAAGCTCTAGTAGTTGTAAACTCTAAGTAATACTTTAAAACTTAGGTTATAATTAATGCTTATAAAAATAAAAATTTAAAAGCATATAAATAGTTTACTAACTTCTATAGTTAAAGTGTTTAAAAAGGTTTTAAAAAAGGTAGTAATAATTATGTATAAGCTAGTGTTAGCATAATAGAAAATTACTAAGCTTTAAGCAGCTAATAAAGCTGCTACATAACATAAATTATATAAAAAAAAGCAGATTAAAGCAGAAAAGACTTTAATAATTTAGAAAAGCCTATACTTAATAGCTCTAAAGAAGTTTAAAGCGCGTAGTAATAGAAAGAAAGTAAAAAAGCAGGTGTAAGCTAAAGTAAGTAAGCTATCCTAAAGGCGCTGCAGATAGTGCAATTAGACTAGGCATAACGCGTAAATGTGTAAGCAAGAAGTAAAAGTAGTATCTAAATAATATTCTAGGCTGTACTGTACTATATAGTGCTAGAGCGGGTTATTATAGGCTATAATAGAGTTTGTTAGGGTGGGGTCTTAGCAAAAGTGAGCAACTCAGGTGTGTGAGCAACTCGCCTATGAAGTATGTTATGCACATAGCAATAATTACAAGCATTAGATTACAGAATAGCAGGCAAGTCTTAATACCTTTATGCAACGCGTGCTCTAGTCTATCTTGTAATTAGTATTAGGTGCGTGCGTAATAAAGATTAATTTTACTTCTTATCTAGAGTAAACATTATGCACTTAGCGTTTTACTAGAGTTGTATAGTAAATTCTATGTTGCTGCACTTATTATAAAAGATAGCAAATATTGTTTTCTAACCTGTTGCTGTTAGTTAATGTAGGCTACAGTAAGACAGACTTACCTAAAAATGTAAGCCCCTACTAGATTTAAGGCAACATGTAGATTCTATAAATTTGCTAATTCTTAAAGTGCTAAAAACACAGGCTATAATAAAAGCCTATATCTTAACTCTACACCGCGGCTTTAGAAGCACAAACTAATTGTTCTTCTACCACTATGTTCCTAGGTAAAAAAAATAAATTTATAAGCTGTATCTCTGCAGTCTCTTTCTAAAAGATAGCTTAAGGATATTGTATAGCTTGTATACTTAATAAACTGTCTAATGCAATTAGTACTAACGCTATAAAACGCCTAAATAGCTGCAGTAAACTTACATTTAAGGTGGACAGCGTTATGTTTAGGCTTATTACGTTCACTTTTTCCTTCTTCTCTCCCTCTTTATTAGTCTCCTTGCTGTCCTATTCTTTCTCTATCCTAGCTTGCCTCTAGCTAGCAGTGAAGTCTTTATAGTACTAAACTACAGTCTATAAGCCTAGCTTTTTGTTACTATACCTACTCTTAATTCTAAGCGCAATAGACATAACGTAGTCCTTAGATGTCTTATTATTGTTTAGGTTTACTTCTAGATTTAACTTTTTATATCTAATGTTAAAATTTTATGTTAGTAAGGTGTACTACTCTTAAAAATATTATTGTAGACTTACTAATCTTATAGCTCTAACGCGCGCTTGTAGTTTTTCTTTATCTTTAGTTAAAGTGCTTTTAGAATTTGCTTTCTGTTAACAATATCTTTCTTCTTTTTAATAGCCACATTATAGCTAGCACGCTTAAAGAAGGCCTCTAGAGAAATATTTGCTAGCATTTTAACAGATAAGGCGCTACAGAGTGAAAAATAGGAAAAATATCACAAAGTTCTAAAACTAATAGTAATGCTGCTAAGAAGACAGCAATGTTGCAGTAATAGCTAAGGTAGTTAGGTAGGCTTAACCTAGCAGCACAATGGTGCCTTTATACTGCAAAGGCATAGCACAAGCTAACTTAGCAAGGAGGGATAGCACTGTGTTGTGAGACACTAGAGGGCGCATGGCGAGGGGGCCTATTTTGTCCCTAGCCCTTAGGGACGATTCCGTCCCCCTTCTAAAACGCACCCTAAAGCTTAAAAACTGCCTCTAAGCATCCTTCTTGTCTAGACTTAACAGAATCCTAGAGGCCTGCCAGACTTATTAAATTAGTACAATTGGCTATTAGTGGAGCGCGGGGCAACGTGACTGAGCAGCAGGTGAGCAGCAGGTGAGCAGCCTGAAAGTGGGTGAGCTGAGGGTGATAAGCGCCTAAGTAAAGCAGCACTGCTTACTAGCCATAGCAAGAAAGAGAGCGCTGGAGAAATTTAACTAACTACTTAGATAAAAGTAAAACATACTCTAAAAATAAACTATAGTAAGAATAGCTAGTGTAAGGACGGAGCTCTGTACCACTACGCCAATACAACCAAAAAGGTGCGAATAATTAACCAACGTTAATTATTGCGTACAGAATAGTATATATACCCGTCGCACGTAAGCACCATCTCAGCCTTACACGTAAGCGCCATCCTGGCCTTACATTATCCCCCTTCTTAGCAGACGCATGTCCCAGGCGTCACATGACCTACCCGCAGCTCAGAGGCGCCTATGCGCATGTCTCGGTTACCGGCCAGAGGCTGACCACCTGCGGCCCAGAGGCGCGGGATAAACACAACGCAACGCTCAGTGGCCCACGCCAGCTAAGCCATATACACTAGACCTCCCAGCAGCAACAACGTGGCGCCAGAAGAGGCCGCCTCACGTTTCAGTCTAAAAACTGGCTAAGCTGTCCGAGGTGTGGGTCGAACGCGCGACCGTCCTCGTTGTTGGTTGATTATTATGTAAGGACGGAGCTCTGTACCACTACGCCAATACAACCAAAAAGGTGCGAATAATTAACCAACGTTAATTATTGCGTACAGAATAGTATATATACCCGTCGCACGTAAGCACCATCTCAGCCTTACACGTAAGCGCCATCCTGGCCTTACAGCTAGCACACTTTACTATATAAGTTAGTTATTATACAACATGTAAAATAAAAGGCATATAGTAAGGTTTTATGTTAATAGTACTACAAGTCTAAATTAACACTACATTAATATATAATAAGTAGTAGGTATTTAATTAAAAGGCATAAAAAGTGCTGCTATAGTATTTAACATTATTATAGGGTGCAGAGAGAACCTGTTTCTGCTAGATCTAAAATTATTAGCTTATTATATAATAGAGGGAGTAACTTACAGTATGCGCTACAACTTCTAGAGCTGCTTGTACATTTAGGTTAGAAGCAGCAGAAAAAACCTAGATGCATCTTTTATAGCTATTAGCGCTATGCTGCTTCTAGCTATTTTTATTATTTTTTTTAGCATTCTAAATTACAATGTCTATGTTTTTATATAATAAGATAAAAAGAAGATACTTTCTGTAATACTTATTATATAAAGTAGGGCTTAATATACATTTTTCCCTTTATTATTTAGATTTTAAGCTCTTAACTACTCTTATTATAAATAGAATTCTATTATCCTAAGCTAAATTTTTATTAAATGTTTGTTGTATAACCTATTAAAAGTATAATAGCACAAAAAATTAAGTAAAAGACTAATTGTTTAGAATAGTTGCTTATTTAACCTTAGCGCTGGATCAATTTATGGATCCGATCCAGATCCAGGATAGCGCCACGTGATTCCGGATAATCGATTCGGACCGATTCCCGCCAGCACTGGACTCAGGCCCGGCTCAGCTTCGGCTCAGGTCTGCTCAGGTCGCGGCGCAGTCCCTGAAGTACCTCGTTAGAAATTGTCAGGTTTTAGCGATGGGGCCCAAACCCCCCCCCCCGGCGCCCGGTCCACGAAATGGGACTCCAGGCGGACTCGCAGCCTTGAGGGCTTAAACTTCTCTCTAGAGATGATTGTCTGCTAGCCTTGTCCTTGTTGTTAGCATGGAGCGCGCTATTCTACAAGAATAGCCGACCTCCTTCTCACCTTCTTATCTTATCTCTTATCTGTCCAACAAATACCGCCTTTCTCTTTTCTATTTTAGCCTCCACTTCGGTACAGTTGGCACCCTGTATACTATAAGTATCTAGCCAAAAAAAATGAGGTCGGAAGAAGGGTGACCTAGACAGTTAGATCGAGGCGGCTATATAGGATAGGCTCTCTAAGGACAAATCCGGAATCAATAGGACATCGGTCCACCGAGAGCTTTCTAATAGTAGTAAACCGCGGTATACTATTTAACCAATCTAACGGCAAATCGACCCCCATTTTCGGCGGTTTACGATGCTGTAATCTGCGGTAAAGTTTCCAGCCAATCAGCTCGCCCGGCTAAACAATTACCCGAACTCCGTTCACCAGTGTGCTTCTCTCCGGAGTCGTCACTGCGTTTCTCCCCGTTTCAACAACCTCATACCTCGTGACAAGACATTTCAGAGTCATCATTGCGTTTCTCTCTTCTTCAACAATCTCCACGTCACGACGAGGCGTTTCGGAGATAGCCGTTTAAAAATGGCTGCTCTTTTCAGAGACATAACGAATCTGTCTGACTCTCATCACCGTCTTTCCAATGACACATCAAAATCAGCTTCCGCTTCACCCACCGCGTCGGCTTCACCCACCTCGTCAGCTGCACCCTCCGCCTCAGCTTCACCCTCCGCCTCAGCTTCCTCCTCTACTACTCCTATCACATCTTCCCAGCTTTGTGAGGGACTGGATGGCAAGATTCAGAGATATCCCGGAGTCGCTGGAATACGAAGAGCTGTCAGTACGCTATGGAAGAAGTTACAAGAGGGTGAAACCACGGATCAATACCTTGTTTTTCAGCCTGTCACAGTGAATGAGCTTGACAAAATTGACAATCAGCGCTCCGAAGTTGGGAAAGGCATACGGTTGACTCACTGTGCGGATATTGAGACGTTGATAATTAAAGTGCCCACGGCAGCTCACGAGGTGGTGGCTAGGGGTTTCGGGATCGATCTGGCGATACGGTGCAGCCAGATGGGAGTACCACGTCGAGAATACACCTCGGTTGGTTCAACGAGATTTACAGGAACTTCAACGTCCAAGGAAGCCGACGAAGTCTTTAAGCCTGCTACCCTCCGGCCACATACGCTAGATTGGCCGACACTTGTCCTCGAGGTCGGCGTCTCAGAGTCATTACTGAAGCTCAGAAATGATGCGAGGTGGTGGCTCAGCAATTCTAGGGGCCACGTGAACATTGTTCTGATCTTCCACATAAATCGAGGGACAAAAACAATGTTGATCGAAAAGTGGGAGACCATACCGGCGACTGGAGGACCAGTCACTCGATCAAATCAGCCACCAGCACAAATTCCGACTCAAATACAAGCAATCACCATCGACCAAAACAATGTTACTGGAGCACCATTAACTCTGCACTTTCACGGAATTTTTCTCCGCCAGCCTAATCTGCCAGAACAAGACTTGGTATTTACTGCGCAAGATCTTCAAAATTGGTCAGATGATATCTGGGCTGCTCTTACCTAGGTAAAGGATCAAGGCGGAATACAGGCAGAGTAAGGAGAAGCCCGGTTTACCGGTGGTTGTATCTTTCTCAAATCACCTTTCACTAAAGCGGGGGCAGCTGGGAGAAATCAAAACTTCGATTTTGTAAAGCTATAGTTAAGCAAAAGTCTACTTCGACGCATTTTCAAATGTTCGCCTAATCCTCTAAAATCGGTGGTCGACTTGCCGTGTGATTTTTTACGAACTACTTCAAAAGATCCGACGGCAAATCTACCCCTATTTTCGGCGGTTTATGACTGCGGTAAAGTTGCCAGCTAATCAGCTCGCCGGGCCAGCCAATTGCCCGAACTCCGCTCATCACTAACTCAGTGTGCGTTTCTCTTCTTCAACAACCTCACACCTCGCGACAAGACATTTCAGAGATATCCATTTAAAATGGCTGCTCTTCTTAGAGACATAACGAATATGTCTGACTCTCATCACCGCCCTTCCAACGCCACATCTAAGTTAGCCTCCACTTCACTCTCCGCCTCAGCTTCCTCCTCTATCACTCCTATCACATCTTCCCAGCTTTGTGAGGGATTGGATGGCAAGATTTAGAGATATCGCGGAACCACTGAGATACAAAGAGCTGTCCGAGAAGTTAGGTGAGGGTGAAACCACAGATTAATCTCTTGTTTTTCGGCCCGTTACAGTGAACGAGCGTGATAAAATTGACGATCAGCGATACAAAATCAGGAAGTGCATACAGCTAACTCATTGTGCGGATACCGGGACGTTAATAATTAAAGTGCCCACAGCAGAGCACGAAGTGGTGTCTCAATCTTTTAGAGAAGAATTTGTGGCTAGGGCCGTCAGGATGCAAATACCACGTCAAGAACGCGTACCGCTTGGTGGAACGACATTTAGAGGAACTTCGTCTAAGGAAGCAGACAAAGCCTTCAAGCCAAGTACTCTCCGGCCACATAAGCTGGACTGGCCGACGCTTGTCCTCAAGGCTGGTGTCTTAGCGTCACTACTGAGGCTCAGGAATGATGCGAGGTGGTGGCTTAGCAATTCTAGGGGCCGCGTGAACATTGTTCTGATTTTCCATCAATTAAGGGACAAAAACAATGCTAATCAAAAAGTGGGAGGCCATACTGGCAACAGCGACTGGAGGACCTGTCACCTAATCACATTGGCCCTAGGCATAAATTCTAACTTAAATGCAAGCAATCACTATCTACTAAAACAATATTACTGGAACACCCCTAACTCTACACTTTCACAAAAATTTTCTCTGCCAGCCTGCACAGCAGGCTAGCCTACTAGAGCAAGACTTAGTATTTACTACGCAAGATCTTTAAGATTGCTCAGATGATGTCTGGGCTGCTCTTACTTAGGCAAAAGATTAAGGTGGAATGTAGGCAGAGGGAGTAAGGAGAAGTTTAGTTTACTAGTGGTTGTATCTTTCTTAAATCAGCTTACATTAAAGGCGAGGCAGCTGGGAGAAAATTAGATCTTTCGATTCAGTACTATTATAGTTAAGCAAAAATCAACTTCATGTCACGGGTTGGACCCTGTGTGGCCTGGATGCCTGCGGCAACAAGGGCCCTGACCTAGCTTGGTGGTGCACGCACGCCACACACGTGCACGGAGCAGGAGCTTCTATTTCTTTCTTGTTAATCCTTCCTCTATTTCCTCCCTTTCTTTAGCTTAGCCTTAATTAAATTACGTCCCTCTAAGCAGTTTGCTTTTAAACCTGTGACAAAAAGGACTATTTTAAAGCCTTAGAGAGAAATAGACTGTATATTACTTTTAACTACTTTATTTTAAGAACTGTGACATTAAGCCAATAATTAGGTTCCTAAAACAAGGACCCTTTTACATGTAGAGGCTTCTTGAATAGTGGTATAGTTCTGGTCACGTTATGGATGTATGTCTCTCCCTAGAGACTAGGGCTTCTTGGAGATCTAAGCTCCTGGGAGATCTAAGCTCTTATAAATAAATCTCCTTAGAGCTCTTAGCCCTTAGGAGATATTAGCTCTTAGGAGATAGAAGCTCTTACAAGATCTCTCTTATAAGATCTAGTCTCTTAGGAGATCACTCCTATAAGTGTGACGGGAACAGGTCAGCCTTAAGTTAGGCTTAGATCTGACACTAAAGGTGGATTTCTGCTACAATACAACTAAGCTAAGGAGGAAGGAAGAAAGGAAGAAAGGAATAGAATCCCCTCCACTTAGATCCTGCCCTGTGCCTCAGGCACCAAGGCTTCCATGGTTTCCAACTTCCACCCGTTCATCTGGGCCGGCCCAAATTGCCATACTTCTGCTCAGGCCTAGCCTGAGTGCAACCTTGGGTTCAACCCGTGACATCTACCAGCCGTCAAAGGCAGTAATATCTCACTATGGCTCTATCTGTAATGCTAACGCTCTAATCTTAACTACTGCTCTCCACTCTGCATGGATCCTATGGCGTTCGCTTAGTCCAAAAAGAACCATTGTTCGTCAAAGCGCGTTGCCGTCCAAGCACTCTGCGCTGTACGCTACGCCGCCTTGTTGAAGGCTGTCGCTTAGCTTGGGTTAGAGCGGGCATATGGTACTCCTTTGCCAATGGGGTCGCTGTTGAGTCACTTGTAGGCACTAAGGAATTCACCAGCGGTAGCCAGCTGTTTTATCTGGTTTAGTCCATCATCAAAGCTCTTCTACTCAGCAGTTGTACAGGGTCCGGGAGGGGTAGGGGGCAGTAAGAAGTAATTAGTGCTGTTGGATTGTAAGTAGAAGAACTATGTTAATGATGAGAGCAAATACAGTGCCTATGGAGTGCTCTATAGTCCCTCAATAGCTATCTGGGTGGATGAGAAGTTGGAGTGATAACAAGGACGGGTTAGCTTCTGGGAACTTTCGCTGATGTCAGCAGCAGGCTTGGGCGAACTGAGTCGGCATGCGTCTGGGTAAGAATAACCGGGCTTTGAGGGTCCGAAACAGGGCCCGCTCCAGCTGATGATGTGATGATGTCTTTATTACGCCCGGCTCTAGCCTAGAGGGCACTAGTGTGTTATTGCCTAAGCGCTTCCTTGGTGATGGCTTAACTCCTTGTAGCCCTTACATGCCTCCTGCTCTGCTATCTAGCGTAGTTGTTACATATCCCCCTAATTGTAATTTGTAGTAAGCGTTCTTAAAGTCTCTTCTTTAAGTGTTTAGAGTCCTTTTGTTAGCAAGTAAAGCAGAGCCTGCTGTTATGTAGGGTTAGTATTAAGCGTCTCTTTTCCACTATTGTCTCTGTAGTTCTAGGTTCCTATCTTCTTTCTTGCTCTAGGCGGCCTGTTGCTATTGCGTACCTAACTGTTATCTTTACTGTGTTAATGTCTAGCGACCATTCTGCTAGGTCTGCTAGTGCCTTTCCCCTTAGAAAGAAGGGGAGGTTTCCTCTTCTAGTCTCTGTTTACTAAAGCATATGTATTTAGAGTGTGTCCTATCTTTAGCATTAGAAAAGAAAGTGCTAAATAGTTTCTTCTGCCTAACTACATATGCACATGTTTAAGTCTACAGCTCCTATTTAGTTTAGGTATGTGTTTAGCTGTGTCATCCTAGTTTGTAATTGTGCTAGTATCTTTGCTTCTTACTAGGTTAGGGCGTTGTAGAGCTTCTTAGTGTGTTTCCCTAGTAGAGCTATGTCCATCTTGCGCGAGTATCTCCCTACTCCTGTTAGTAAGTCTTTTCTCTGTCCCTAGTTTCTCACTGTGGTCCTGGTTACTGTTGACCTTGCTTGGTAAAAGGGTCTAGTTAGCACGCTGCTGTCTGCTGTGGCTTTCCTTGCTGCTTCCTTAGCCTTCTTTACTAAATCGTTGCTTCCTGCTGGGCACTATACCATACGTACCGAGCACCGCCTTTCCCTTAGTGCCCGAGTCGCGTTGTAGATCTGTTCGATGCTGGCTTGGCCGGACTGATCCCGCGGTTGGCGTATTGCCTGTATGGCCGCTTGGCTGCTGGTGAGAATGATGACCTGGTCCGCCGTCTGGCATGTCAGGAGGGAGGTCAGCGCTGCCGCCATCGCTGCCAGCTCCGCTGTGTAGGGGGCCCGCTCCAGCGTGCGTAGGGGGAAGTTCACGCTGCTCAGACCCGTGTCAGACCCGTGCTCAGGCTGCTCAGCCTCAACTCAGGATCCACTCACCCCAACTCAGCCACAGCTCAAGCTGGAGCAGGAGCAGCTCAGTTTCCTGAACGGAACGGAAAGTACAGAGCTCCGTCCTTACAGTTGGACCGTAAGCGAGTATTGGAAAACAACCCCTCAGTGGTGGAACCCCTTTGAGATGGAGCCAGAGGAGTCACGTGACGGAATTGGCGAAAGAAGGCCCAACCACGTGACCATGCAACCCGGGCTAATACCCGGGGTATGTCTTGCATGAGCTGAGGAGGGAGCATATGGCAAACGACTCGACAAGGGAGCGAGATCCAAACAAGGTGGATTGAACGAGCGTATTGTAAGGTCTAAGGAGCTCGATAGAGCTCTGGGCTGACTATATACTGTACGAGAGAGGAGCTATGCCTAATGAGTGAATAGTGCAGTGCATGGGTATGATATCGCGTGAGACACGTGCGACAGTATGTTCCATCCTGTAGGTGCATGCAACAAACCCAAGTATATAGTTTGGATCTCGACCATCGTTGGAAGGTCGTGACCAACGTTTGGTTTTATCTTTACATAGACCGAGTAGTATAATAGTTTACGAAGACATTATACTGTCGAATATCTTGCACCATATATTCACTCCCATTACCATCTCTACGAGATCGTTTCCCCTGCTCTCTCATACAGCAGAAGAGGCAAACCACGACAAGTCCAACCGAGAACCTCCAGCGCCCCACGTATATCTGTCGTAGGACTGTACACCCTATCGCCAGATATACTCTTCTCATCGCCCCCTCATTCCATCCATACCCTCACCGGACCGCTTACCGAACGGACACGTCCTCATTAGCATCCAGTTCCCAAATTTTCTCGTGTACTATCCTCTCAATATCCTCTTGAAATTCCTTGAGCATATCGTCTTTCCTGCACTGCATGTCGAGTTTCTCATCTTCAACAACAGAGAAATTCCTCGTCGGTAGCGCTCCGCAGATATTGAGCGTCGTATGCAGTGTTCTCATAGATTGTAGTAAAGATTGTAGTAAGCTTTTGCTCTGCGTAGGCGGCGGCTCGGGCGGAGATGAGGCCGCGCAGGGAGCGGATGGAGCGGAGGGATGGCACAATGGGGTTTGTGGTGGGGTTTGAATCGGACGGAGGAGGTGAAGTTGAGATGGATCTAGGTTTGTCGATGAATTGAGCGAGCATCTCCGGGAACATTTGTTGCATTATCTTTTTCACAGCATCCTCTGGGACAGCGCTTCCAACCGTACGTAATACGATTCGACTCGACCAAATCTGGGACGTTACGTCTGACTTTCTTAGTACGTTTCTACTATACGATTGACATGAGGACCACTTACAAGTCTCAACTGTAACAATTAAGAATCCTTGTACGGCTTAACGACTTAGCAGAAGTTACAACGTAACGCTGGAACAAATATAATCTGTGTTGAATAGGCTCTTTTAGCTAGCTGCTTATAGTATGAGCACTTAAGTAGCAAGAGTAAGAGTAGTGTACGGTGTGCACAGCGTACAAAGTAGGTAGGGTGGGGGCAACATGTTTCTGGTTCTATTGCTCTGTCTTTTCCTCTGTACGGAGGAAAAGGGGAATATCTAGATGTTCGCGCACAGAGGTTCGCGCACGAGCATCATGTGACATAGATACGTGATCCTGCTCATGCGCGATAGCTCGTATCCAGGCTGTGACGCTGCTGCTGCGTACAGACAATCTAAGAGAGCTAAGAGCTTAGAGTGAATTACCCTCTAGCAGAGCTAGTTCTTTTGCAATTAAAGAGCCTTAATTGTCTCTCTAGAGAGGCGGTTCCTGTTAAGGTGGCAAGTCCTTCTTCTACTAGAGAAGGCTCTCTCGCAGTCACAGGACGTACACAGGATAGAGAGGAAATTAAGGGCGATTTTAAAGAGCGTGGGGTAGGAGAAACGTCCTACTTTTGTCTACTATGTGAGAGGATCTGCGAACAAGGGGCTGTTATCCTTAGCTATAGCAAAGTCCTCCTAATAAGAGTTATAATATTGCTGCAACTCTAAGGTTTTCTGCTACCTTTTGTATAAGCGATTGCTGGTGAGAGAGAATAGCAAATTATAACTTAAGGATAATATTAAGGGCAAAAAGTTGACTGTTTGCATAGGATTTAATACCCTAGCCCCCCCCTCTCTGACGCGTTCTTGCTTGTAGTACATGACAGAGTTTTCACTAATTATTACTTAAAAATGCCCCCTTAAACGCCCTCCTAACGCTTGCCCATGGATGTCTAATCAGGTCCTATATTACTAGGAAAAATCGACTTTCTAAGACGTATTACGGACTGTAAGGGGACCTCTCTCAGTCGTACGTTACAATTGACAGTCCTCTTACGTTTGTACGGCTCACGTGACCGTAACTATTCACTTTTCTGAGTCGTAGTACGTACGGTTGGAAGCGCTGCTCTGGGATATGCGAACGACCCAGAGTTGGTGCACAAACAGAGCGAATATGTGGTGATGCAGAGCAAGAGGAATGAGAGGCGTGCAGCGATTCGTCGACACTGAAACTAGAAGTCGAAATTGTGGTGGCCTTCTCGGTGGGCGAGCCTACGGGTGTGCGAAACACCCGTTTTGGCAGTGGCGACCCTTCTGGACTGCTTGACTCTATGATTGCGCGTTAGTCAAGTGAGAAGGGCGGACTAGGACTGGAAATACTCACTTTGCAGGGCACGCTTGCTCGCCTTTATGTATGGAGGAGGTTCGTTCGACACATGATCGTCAGCGGGGCTGAAGACTGACCAGTCGTCAAGCCTGCGTCCTCTGAGGTTCTTCTCGTCAATGCGGAAGCCGCTGAATGTTTCCGGCCGGGAGACGATATCCAATATCGACTTTTTTTGGTGCTGATTAAGCCATTTCCAGTCAAATAGTATTGTTATCTCGGTGGCTTTAGCAAGATCAACGAGCTGGCGAAAGGAATCGTCCTGGCTGGCTTCGGGTGCGACATTGGGACAGAGGATGGCGCAAGGTTTCTTAAGATTCAGCGATAGTTCTTGAACTTCAGGCATATAATTTCGCGCAAGGCAGTCCAATTCTGTTTGTGTAACAGCCCGGTTTGCAGTTGCGCAGGTTGTTGTGGTAGGGTGGAGGTTGTTAGCATTATATATCAAGATAAAGGATTGCGCCGTCGTGGAACCACATATGTGTTGAAGAGACAAAGTGGCACAGAACCTGACTTGGTTATATTTGACCTGAAAAGTGCATTGCAGGATTGGTGCATCATTGGTAGTGACACAAGCTAATGCAAGCAGACTTTTTCAGAAGAGGTTGTGTGCCATTCTATATTAATAGTCCATCTGCTCCGCCTAATGCAGCACTGACTTACTGAAATATGCCCTTGCAATGATGTGTAGCAAGATGCCCTCCCACATCAGCAAAGAACAGCCCTGACTCAGTTGCTGCCACAGTACGCCGCCGCTCCTTGAGCAGCTATCCTCACCGTGTTCACACTGCACTTGTCTGTCTGCGAACCGCCCCTCTGATGTAGGCGAGCCGGCGCGTGGGCTGTGAGGCTGAGGCGCGCTGTGATCGCCAACGTTAGAGGCATTGTAAGATTCGCAAGGATGGTGGACGGAGTATTAGTCTAAGCGTAGGCAAAGGCGAAGCGGTGGGCGAGCGACAGTCCACGGTTGAGAGTCTCGTATTTAGCGCGGCTCAAAGGGAGGATTTGGGGTGACTTAGCAGAGTAGGATTCAAAGGCTAAGGGCAATAGGTTAAAAGGATTTGGCAGGGGGGGCAGGCTCTTTATATATCCTTATCTTTTCACCTTCACTTCAGTGGTGATAGTACTCAAACTACTTAAAAACTGCCTCACAGTTGTGAAAATAGGCGTTACAGGACTTATTAAAGAGTGAGTTAAGCTTTTAGCGTCTATTAAAGTGCTTTTAACCTTTTTAGTCGCTAAAAAGGGTGAAATCACGTAGAATATAACGTATGTGAGCAGATTTTTGTCGTCATGTGGCCTGATTTGACGACGAACAAGCTAGGCAACAACAGTATAAAGAGGGATTAGAGGGATTAACTGCAGTGAACGTATATTGCACGTGACTATCAATCAAATAGGATGTTAACCTCCTAGTGCCTAGTTCTTTTTAACACTTTAAAAGAACTTTAATTAAAGCTTATACAAATCTAACAAGATATAATTGTCCATCCCTGCGTAACGGAAATCCCGCCGTGGCGGAACGCTAGCAGCACTTTCTATCATAACAACACTAAAAACAACCACACGGTTTAGATAATCTTAGAATAAACACCTACGCATCTTAGCGTCTTATATACTAAGTATCTTAATTGTAAAATTCTTGCTGGCTTAGGGTGGATTAAGCGGTAAGGAAACGAGTTGAGGGACGTTTCAGGCACGTCGGATGACCTTTAGTAGACTGCAACAGCTACCTCTGGTTCGTACAGTTAAAGATCTCCCTGCCTAAGGTAGGTACAGTGACCTTTAGCAGACTGCAATAGCTGCCTCTAGTTTGTACAATCAAGATTTTTAATCTTCCTACCTAAGGTTAGGTGCGATTAGAGTTGGCAACAATTAAGTTAATTAAGTTAGAGTGAATTGCTTAATTAATTAACAGATCTAGCACATTTTAATTAACTTAATTAACTTAATTAATAGATTAAGTAGTAAATTAACTGCTGTATATCTTATAGATAGTCTTTAGGTCTTTAAAAAAGATAGCGTTACTATGTAGACTTTTTACTAACTTTATAAGCTTTAAGCTAAGGCGCTTCTAACTATGTAGGCTTTATAGGGCAGAGAGAAGGTCTGCCTTTATGCAGAGACACCTTGTCTCTAGTAAATTACCTAGCTTAAAGAAGGTCCTCTTATAATTAGTAGCTACTATAAAGATGCTAAAAATTATAAGAGTAAAGCATAATAAAATAAGGTACTTACTAGCCTTTTTTATCTAGTATAAAATTAAGTTGTGTGTAAATAAAAACTTTTTTAGTATAAGTAACTTAATTATTTAGCGCTGTCAGATATGCGCACCTACGGTCAAGACAGGAGGAACGCTTGACGAAAGCTGCTACATAGTACAAGCAATAAGCTCGAACAGTATGTTGCAGCAAATTGCAGCATTTTGCAGCATTTTGCAGCATTTTACAGCATGTTGCAGCAAATTGCAGCACTTTGCAGCAAATTGCAGTATGTTGCAAGCTGGTCGCGCATAGGGCAAGTGCGCGAGGGACTCGGATCGGCAAAACAAAAAGCCGAGCAACACGAGTAGAGCAGAAAAAGGATTGATAAATCAACACCATCAATAAAATCAATTAATCATCCCATACATCATATCCAAACCCATCATTCATCTTAGGAAGCCTAGAAACAGTGCTTTAATCTAACAAGCGCTTAAACTTATTATAGTAATAAGTTAAGTAGGTGTTATTACTTTATAAAGTAGCTCTTATAAAATCTAACTAGCTCTTAGCTAGCCCTATATATGCCTTCTTTAGTAGAGGCTTTAGAGTACTAATAAAAAAGGCAGCGTCTTTAAACTTTACTTATAAGTGTTAAAAGCTAAGGTAGCAGTTATCTAGCTAGGTTTTATATATATAAAGTTTTTTATAAAGCTTCTTATTATAATTAAGAGGCACTACTTACACTTTATTTATGTAACTTTTTATGTGTAGGTAAAGACAGTAGGCAGTGTAATAAGCTAAAGTGTCTTTTAACTTATATATATAATTAATAATCTTAATATAAGCTATATTATAAGTAGCTTAAATATAGTCCTTTTAAAGTGTTAACATTGTTAAAGTTAATATTATTATACTAAAAGAGCATTTTATTAAGAGTAGTTGTAAGCTAATTAAGCGTAGGGAGCACCTTTTAGATAGCGCCTAACGTGCTAGCTACGCCTCTGCTCTTTATACAGGTAGTAGCCTTTTTAAAGGGCTATAAGATTTTTTAGTACTCTATAATTATTACTTAATTATTAGTAAAGAAGCTATCTTCTTTAATAAACTAGCGCTTCTTAAGATTACTAAGTTAAAAGTGTTAATAAAAGCTTTAGTAATAATATTTAATAAGCTTATAGCTAATATACTTATTAAAAGGCATGTAAAGCTTAAGCGTGCGCGTAAAATAGTTATAATAAAAGTTTTACTTTATCTTTACTAGTTTAATAATCTTTAGTGTTTTAACCTTATAATCTAGCTTTAATTAAGTGTTGTAGGTTATCTAGCACTATTTAAGAAGCTAGTAGGCTTATAGTGTATAAATAAAGGTAATAACATTAATTAAGACACCTAAAGGGCTAGCCTTACGCTACTTATTAAGAAACACATTCTTCTTTTTAAGATGCTTCTCTGTGTTCTTAAACACCTTATAATCTTTACTAAATATAATTTATTAAGTAGTAAAGTTAATTATATAGTAAGTGTAACATAGTTATTAATAGTAAAAGTTAAAGTTATATTTAATAGCTAGGGCGTTAATTATAAAGTTATTATTAGTAGTGTTATTAAAGATAAAGTAACCTAAGTTATAAGCAAAGATTTTAAAGCTCTTAAGTATAGTATTAACAACAGTAGTAATATTAACACCTATATACTAGCTTATTAATAAAGGTAAGCTAAGTATATAATTACAAGGCGCGCTATTATAATTAAGGTAGTGTATATAAATTTTTATAAGCGCTTACTTACTACTTGTTAACATCTATTTATTAAAGAAAATATATATAGCTAATTATATGTTATAAAAAGAATTAATAATAGTAGGCATATATAACTTATACTGTATAATTATATAAGCTTATAGGGTGTTGTAGGACCTTTATAGCTCTACCTTAGCTAATAAGTTTGCTTACTATAAGATAGCTTAAAAAGCAGCGCCTTTAATTATAAAAAGCACCTAGTTATTAGCTACTACCTAGTTAAGCACTAATTATAAGAAGTTTATATGTAAAAAGCTTTCTATAATAAAGTTAGTAACACCCTAGAATACTCTAAGGCCTTTATAGTAGAAGTAGGTAAGTAAAGAGAATTACTAAGAAGAAGTTGTAACGTAAAAAGTAGCTTTTAGGCTATTCTTATTAACACTATAGCTAGCCTTATGCTTAGTAAGATAGCGTGTAATTAACATAGTTAATAAATTAGCTTAATAAAACTTATTAAAGTGCTTATAATAGTAGTAATAGTAGTAGAGCTAGTATAAGCGTTATTGCTTATAGTGCTAGAGGTAATACCTATACTACTAAACTTAGCTCTTTTAACTGCGCTTTGCTGTGTAAGCTAGCTTATAATAATTAAGTAAACACATCTATTTAATGCTTTTATACATGTTATTATTATTATTGTTAATATTAGTAGTAAAGGGGGTGCCTTTTATAAAGCTTTTATTAGTGTTAAGCTCTAATAGCGTGTTAGTAGCTAAATTAGTAGAGCTATTTTTAAAAGTAATTTATAAAGCTGCGCTTTTAAGCTACTAGGTCTAGACTTTTATAAAGTTACTATTTATACTTTCTAAATAATTAGGTAACGCTATATTAATAAAGAGGGGCGTTAGTAGAGTAAGAGAGGTAGTAAAGGCAGGTAAGTTAGTAGGCAGTAGAAGTTAAAAAATTTTAGATATATAGTGCTAAGCTTAGTTAAGTAACTATTATAACTCTAAAGTTTCTTAAAGCTAAGCTGCTTTATACTATATTTACTACTCCTGCACACTAAAGGATCCTGTATCCCCTAGTAAACCTAAGATCCTAGGGATTTAAGTCTGTTAATTAAGTTAATTAAGCAGGTGTAATTTACTTAATTAACTTAGTAAATTTTGCCTAGCTAATTAACTTAATTAACAGCTATTAATTAGGTTAATTAAGTTAAGTTATTAAGTTAACTTAATTGTTGCCAACTCTAGGTGCGATACAGAGACCTATTAGGCAACAATAGGTGCGGCTCTGTCTTCACTCTTGCTAATTTGCAGTTAACGGGTAAGTCTACAACAACCTACTCTAGTCAACCACTAATTAGTGTTGAATGGGCTATCTCCCTTGCATCAAGACGGGATAGCTGGTGTGACTGGTCTGGAAGGTACTTGCGTACGAAGGGGTATTCAATTGATTGTTCTTCTTGTTAGTCTCTATCTACGTAAGAAGAGGAGATATAGGATTCCTAACTGTCGCACCTTGTGCGCAGTCCTGTTTCATGTTGGTTGAGCCTCGGCCGCTCTAGCTGCACTATGCGGCCTTAGCGTTAACTTATCAGTCAACTATCAGACGTCTAAGTGCCTTGTACAGACAATAACTTTTAAAGTTAAAAGAACCTTTATTTAGAAGCTAGTTTTATTAAAGTTATAAATATTTTTAAGGTGCCTCCCTGCGTAACGAGACACCCTGTGTGCCGAGACAAATGAGGGGTACTTTAACTTTCAGCAGCTGGAAAGCCTATGCGCACAGCGAATATTGCTATCATTCTACAAAAATAATCTGCTGTAGCTAATTCTAAATGTTTCTGTTCTACTTTGCCTAAAAATTACGTCTGTGTTGTTGCTTCCGCGCCTAATCTGTACAGCGCCTTGTGTTGTGGCATAACAGACTTCCCTCCTTACAGCGCTAACCTTAAGCCTTTTTTGCTCTAAGATTGGGTAGAGTAACCTAATCCTACTCTTACAACCTCCCTTAAATATTAGGAAGTCATTATCAGCACTATGCGCGCTGCGAGGCGCGATTTTATGCGGGGCTGCCCTATTAATTAGTACTTCTATTGGAAGCGAACTACTGATCCTGGCTAATGCGAGATGACCCCGCATGTCTTATCTCATGCACTAGTAGGGTATTTTATTGTATAATATGTACAATATGTGGCTGTGCAAGTTGCATAAGCGTTTAGATTATCCTTAAATCTGACTTAAGATTAGGAGCAGTGATATGACATAGCCTAGTGCTTGTTTAGTTAGGTAACGCGCTTCTTAGTTAGCGTTAGCGATCCCACACACTTCGAGATGCAGTCCAACGCACAGCGATACCTACTTTGTGATGTAGAGCCATACCATCGCGCCGCCCACTGAGTGCCGAGATCCGCCGTTGTCCCTTCCGCTGACTGATGGAACAATCTGATCGAGCCCACCACGCCGTCATGCTTCTCGAGTCTACCGGCGCGCTGATTCCTAGACTAAGCCGCAGCGAGCTCTAGTCTCAGCTCGTTAAAGGGGAACACAATGTGATAGGAAGGATACAAGCTAAGATAGAGCGCGGCTGGCCTAGG